TGCTCAATAAAAAAAAAATGCGTGAACAAAAAAATGCCAAAAATCAAAGGTAAGTCCTAGCTACTACAAATTTGCACTTTTTTTTCCAAAATTTAAAAACCTACAAAACTGCAGACTCAAAAATTCTAAATATGATTACAAAATTTAAATTTTTGATGAAAATTCGTTAAAATTTGTCGAATATTTATAAATATACAAAATTTAAAGTTTCAATTTATGTATATACAAGTTTTTTTTTAATAGCAAGCCATATTTTCGTATCAAATCAAGAAATTTTTTAACCAAAGAAAAATAGCCCGAACTTGCTAAAATGTCTCTTCCCAAGTTACTTTCTCGCCACCGTATGTATACATTAGACCGTACCAGAAAAAAAGTTCGCCGTACACTTTCGAAATTGAGGTATTTTTGCAAGTCGATTCCGAAAAAAAAGTTTGACAAATTTTAAAAATTTAAAGCGGAACACTTTTACCGTTAGCAAAGAAGAGGCTTTTAGTGCTTTTTTACAATGGTGCCGATAAAACTAATTTTTTCCAAGATATGGCTATCAATTTACAAATAATGCTCACCCAGTTTTCTCACCAAACAACAAAAATCGATACTGTTTTTCCATCTGAATAAAATAAAATTAAAAATATTTTTACCAAAAAGTTACGCCAGATGATGGAAGATTTTAATCTTGAAAGCTCCGCACAAAAATGCTTAAACAAGTTACAACAAATCATTATAATGAGATGTTTTTTTCAAGGGGGTTTTGGAGGAAGTCTTAAAATAGAATACATTTTATAATTCCGCTGGAGAACACTTTTTTCCCTTTTTTGGTGAGGCACCCTACTGTACATAATATAAACATTTTCCAAAATAAAATAATATTTACCTTCATTCGGCTCCGCTACCACTGGCGATGTTAATTCGACTGCCAAAAATGCCAGACACACAATAATGTAAAGGCTGCTGTTGCTTAGTCCATTGAAATATTTTCGAGGCATAGAGTTCCATTTGAAAATCATGTTTCAATTAATTTTCGATGCCACACTGATTCACCCGACTGAATGGTGAATGCAGCGCATCAACACATAAATTTATTTTATCTAAGATTTTTATATTTATTTCACAAATTGGATAAGTCGAAATCGAACTGCATTTTTAAGAATTCACAACACGGGCTGCACTAAAAAGTATAAGTATTTTGTTAGAAAAGTTTTTACGAAAATAATATGTGGGTCTAAATAAATTTTAAATTTTTCATTAAAATTCTGGTTTCGGAATTTTTATCTTAATTTTTGTTTTTGACTTTGATTCATGCTAAATAAATTTTTTAGTTGAAAATTTAAATTTTATTGTCGTTATATTTTTGCGCGTCATCTTAAGTGGTCTTTATTTACATATGTATTTATGTACTTGTAATTATTTTTCATATATATTTCTATGAATACTGTTTTGTTGTAGATTTCACTTCCTTAGCGATAAGCGTGGGAATCTTTTACACACACACATTCAAAAACCATATTCACTTTTCACTTAACGCCACTGACACAATTTTTCATTTATTGATAAGAATTACATACAACCTATCAAGCACTGACCTAGGCTACGGTCGTCTCTTAATCGAATTGTAAACACAGAAGCGCCTTCGAAAATTAACACTCTGGCATACATACATATGTATGTGCATATGTATAAATGCAACGACTTTACAGCACATGCATAGGGTTAAGAATAATTAATTTTATCTTATTTTATTTTATTTTAATTTTATATACTCGCGTATTTACATTTACGTGCAGTGGATTCATTCAAAATCATTTGCAGCTGAAGTCAGCTGTTCGTGGCAATAAAGCATAAATATGTACATATGTATGTATGCATGCAAGTAGGTAAATAAGTATGTTTCTATGTATGCTAGCTGATAAGAAGCGCCCAAAAATATGTATTTGTACACATTTCAAATTGGTGACAATCAAAAGTTAGTCCCGCAGAAAAGCGGATGCGACGTCGATGGGCCAGTGCCGAATTTATATTTTAGTTTCACATTTTTTTATTTAGTTTTTATAATTGATAACACTTTGAACTTTTTATTGGTGAAACAGACGACTTTATCACAAAACAACTCACTCACTCTACCAGCGAATGCAAAGGAGATGAACGTTTTTGAGAATAATTCAAAGATTTTGAAACACTTTTTTATTACCTAAACGCGGCGTGAATAAATATTAGATAAATTACAGGTGCACATGACCATGTACTGCATATATATTTTGAAAAATTATCTTTATTTCAACACTGTTTTTTTTTTTTTTTGCAGATAAAACCAAAAGCTAAATTAAAATTCCAATTAAATTTGTTTGTTGTTTTCAAAGTATGCTCTTCTTTAATCACTGGCCATTGGTGTTACTGTTATATTTCCTTAAAACTTATAATTTATGCCTATTGCACTTTTATTTCGAAACAGTGACGTCACTTCCGGTTGTACTAAATTTTTAGTTGGTTGACTTTGCAATATTCCTTTGTTCTCTGTGGTAATTTCAACACTTTTTCCATAAAATTTTTATGCTATTCATTCACATGCTGCTTCCTATTAAGATTTATCCCAAATATGTGATAAGTTCTCTTTCGAAATACATTTTTTTTTTCAATCACTTTAGCTTATCACCTAACCTCAATCAAGCACTTCCTAAAATATTCACTATACCACACTGTATATTTTTTTTTTCCGAATTCTCGAACTATTAGCAACGGCAGACGAAGACGAACTGAGCCAACAGCATAATGACTTACTTGCAAGAAGCTGGCTTTCGCAATCGATCGCAATGGTGATCAGCTTCAAAGAGCGACTTTTAAGTAGTTGAAGTTTTTATGGTGTGGTGAATATTCACCCAAAAATATGTATGAACTCAAGAGAGCAGAGTGAATAGTGCTTTTGTGTTTTGATAAATGATAAGCTAAGGGGTGGTTTGCTCTAAGCAATTTATAATAGAAGTTAAACTTTGAAAGAAGGGATGTTAATTTAACAAATAATTCAAATATCTGGCTGGAACCCTTAACGTTAAGCTCTCATGGAATCCAATTCGATTAAGAAATACAGAAGGCATGGTCCCAAAAGCTAATGGGCAGAAAATTTTTCATTAAACCTAGGCTGACAATCTGGATGTATGAAACTATTGAAAAACACATTCCAGCATATATATTCTGCGCCGAACTTGGTGGAAGAAAATCGGGAAACTCATTTACACAGTCTAAGCTAAAACAAAATTAAAAGGTTATCCTCCCGAGTCACCATCCAGTGACAAGTACGACCACCGCGTCCTTCGAGGCGCTAATAAGCAAACCTTCCGATAGAAGGACTACGCGTCAGGTTTGTTGATACATACCTACCGCAGCATACTTTTTAACAACACTTTATGGTCTTCGTCCCAAGCAGACTCAAGTGGGAAGAGAACGACTTTAGCTCAGACCACGGCGCACAGTGGAAGAGCCCCATACAAAATGTGGCAAAAAGTAGGAAATGTGCTCCGATTTTGCCTAAAATTTTAACGTGGAGTACTTTTGCCTTGGAATGAACAAATATGAAAAGTGATAAAATTTAGCGTACTGCCACGCCCCTTATAGTAGAGGAGGTGGATATGGTAAATGTTATCGGCGTGACTGGTCGCCAACGCACCCACCCTATTATTAATATTTCTGTGCTTTTATACAAAAGTAAATCTTGCACCAAATTGTTGGTATTTTAAAGGGGACCGTTACTAGTTCGCGCCACATTTGAATTCAGAATTCGGATGGCTGGTGGGTGCGGAATTTGACCGATTTTAACCATCTGTCAGATTTACATTTGTCTTCCTAGTTTAATCCAAGTTACAAACCGAATTTCATGGAAATCCGATAACATTTACCATATCCACCCATTAGTGTAGCGGGCGTGGCAGTTTGCCAATTTTTACCAGTTTTCATGCTTTTTCTTTCCTTAGTGAAAGTGTTTCAAACAGCAATTTTCAGCAAAATTGAGTTTCGTTTATTGGAAGATTAATGACATGGACGCTAGCGGACGTAGCTGAAATTTGTTTCGCTATTAGTTTAAAGTATACAAAGTATTTTTGTACAAATCACCTTCCACCGCACGGCGCCGCAAGGTATTTATATCTACTTAAAAAAAAATAAAAATAACACTAAAAATGCAAAATATCACAGAAACGGCCTTAACTCTGTAAGGACTACGAACCTGATTTGGAGGCACCCTTGCATGCTATTGAGCTTAATACTGAAGATGGAGATAAATCTAGTTCCGATCGATCATTCAACTAAAATTGCTCATCCCGAAAAATGCGTATACGAAATCTTTCGTAAAAATTCGATTCATACAACAGCGACTTCCTATGCCCGTTGACAATTGCTCAAGTTGGTTTTCCCAGGAAAAATTCTTTAAAAGACATGTCTAGAATTCGAGTCAACCACTTAGTGTGATATTTCCACACATTTCGTAATTAGGACCTTGTGCCACTCTCAGACCATTGCGCGTCGTTGGTGCAGGGCGTCAAGAGTCTGCGGCCATGACCTCAGCTTCCAAAAACCAGCACACGCCTTAAAGCTCAAACACATCTCTACCTTTCCCCCGCACTTCTACTCTTTTCCACAATTTCAACGAAACTACTAAATCCGATACCCACCTGTTGTGGCTACTTGTAGATTTTGTAACACACTTTTCTTCCTAGAGTCAAACACCTCCTTCGAAAAACACTCTATCCTTTCGGTTCGTGTAGACATGGCAAAAACAATAAACCTTCAAACTTTTCAATCAAAAAATTTTCATTCATTTCTAAATTTCCAGCCTGTTTCCAGCTGTATCTAAATTTCAAGCGAACTAATTTTCTTTAAAAAGTTAAAAAGTACGTATAATTAATTTGATTAGCCACGGATTACGACGACCACCACCGTGGTCCAGCACAACACCAACACCAATTACATTGTTTACTTTCATCACTTATAGAAATTTAAAAACACGTCTCAAAATGTGCGACCCTTGCTGCTCTCCCTGCGGACCGTGTCCTCCGGCTTGCGGCCCATGTGGCCCGTGTGGGCCCTGTGGCCCCTGCGATCCATGCTGTGCACCATTTGAGGTAAGTAGCGGTTATGTCGCCAAAGCGTCGGCACAAACCTTTGCATATTTTTTTCCATGAATTTATGTAGCAAACAGAAATTTCACATTTTCGCTCCTTTCACCCAACAACCAAAAACGGCAACGACAATAAAATCACCACCAACAATAATATCAATTTGAAAATACTTGAAAAACTGGGAATCATTATCGATAATAATCGCCGCCCTTAAAATTGAATTTGGCAAAAAAATTGCGGCTCAACCGACGTCTGCGTCAAAATTAAATTGGATCTCCTTGTGTGTGTGCAGTGCTCACCAAAATGTTATACAGGCGCCCACTTGGACGCGCTGCCGCAGTGCGCGCCACGCGTCCCACCGCCCTGCCCGAAATGTATTACGGTACAGCAACCACCGCGGCTCATCTGCCGCAAGCGTGTCGTTTTCAATGAGAAAATCGTCCCGGAACCGATGGTTGTGAATCGTTGCAGACAGATAACCATACCCAAAGTTGTGGATACAACACGTGTCATCAAAGTACCTAAGCTGACTTGGGTCTCACAGATGGTCCGTGAGCCGAGGGTCATCTACTATCCATCAATGGTGCCAGATCCCTACGTGGTTTGCTATCCGAAACGTATTTGCGAGCCGCGTGAAGTGTGCCAAGCCATATTGTGCCAGCCGAAGCCGCAAACAATTGATATACCGCCGCCACGGGAATATTGCTGCTATCCAACTGGACCGATTAACTATAAGCCGAGCGCAGCATGCCCACCATGCCCGATGGGACCGTGTTCACCGTGCGGACCGTGCGGTCCATTGCCATGCTTTTCAACCAATCAATATCCGATATGCGAACCCAACGGATGTTTCCCGTGCAAGCCGTCGGGTCCTTGCGGCCCTTGTGGACCTTGTTCGCCGTGTCGCGGACCTTGCGGCCCTTGTGGCCCGTGCGGACCTTGCGGACCTTGCGGTACTTCTTGCTTCGTACCAAATTGTGCACCTTGTGGACCTTGTGGTATGCCACCTGTCTGCGCTGGTCCCGGTGGAGGAGGTGGCTGTGGTCCCGCAATGCCCGTAGCTCCATACGAGACGGTCGAAGATGAAACGGTTTTTCCGTGCTCGCCAATGACAAACACGCTTTGCGGGCCCTCAGCACTTTGCACGCCATTTGGCATATTTACATTCAACAAGATCAAAATCTAACAAACTGTAGTAGAAGTAGCATTAAGACGAAGTAGTATTAAGACGAATGTTTTTAAGAAATCAAATTTAGATACACATAAGTGCATATAAAAATTTTAACCCACATAAATTAGGCACCTCTTTGGATCAGAACCTTCAACAAATAGCCATTATCAAGGTGAGTTTCATGTCGGATTTACCTTGATGCGCGCAAACCTATCAAGGTGGATTCTAAATCGTGAAACCCGCCTTGATATGGTTTGCGCCAGTCGAGGTTACGATTACAGCATGCTCACCACCACCAGTCTAATGAGTGCATTTTGTTCTCTTCTCTTCCCCGCACACTGCCCACACTATTCCACGTTTCCTTTTTGTTTTCCCTCTCCCCCCTTTACACATTATATAGCCTAAAGCGTGTCGAAGTCGTGAATTACGTTGTGGAATTATGTACACTACCTGCGATTGTATCAAGAGAAATGGCTTACAAGACAGATGCCCACGATCACTTTGCCAGGGTCGAGCTGCTTGTATGAGCTTCCCCGTTCCGAATTGCTGTCCAGCGTCGTTTCCCCTGCGCTACGCCAACAAGACGATGGGTGAAAACAATAGACGAATGCGTTGCAAGGAAACCGCTGCGCTATGTGCGCAAGCTTGCGGCGGCTGTTGTCCACCATGTGGCCCCTGTGAACCCTGTGGCCCCTGTGGACCTTGTGGTCCGTCATGTTCTCCGTGTTGTGATACTGCTTGTTGTGGCCCATCGAATCCACCATGTGGAGCACCGGCACCAATACCATGTCCACCGGCACCTGGCTATTGTCCACCAATTGTGGAAGCTGGCGTCCCAAATCCATGTGTGTGGAATTGTAATAATACGCCGCCTACATATCCATGTAAGTATTATAACGTGTTGATAGGTTAAAAGAAACTATGTGCACACTAACGACTAAGTGGGATCGGTAGGAGCTCAGAGGATTCTTAATTTTCTTCGAATTCAGAGCGGGATTTCCTCTCTAGCTAAAAGGAAATTGTGGCCCCGTACTAGTACCTTCCTACGGAGATTTTATTTCATCCATAAAGGCAAAGTACCAAAACTCGCCACCCATGCTTCTCGCTAACTTTTTCCCCCCTTATTTCAGAGCTTGCTAGTATTTTCTAAGTGCATAGTTATTGCAGCAATCCACTAACGATTGCTTTCTATTTTCTTTCTCTTCAAACAGGTGGTTTTTGAATATTCTTTGAAAGGAAGCTAAGGCAGATTACTTCTACGAATGAAAAAGGATATAAGTAAACGGCAACAATCTGTTGATACTTGAATGTGTCTCCCTCAAACGGAAACGATTTGGACATCACAGTCCCATGCAGTGAAGAATTCCACAATTACAAAGAAGAAGAGAATACACGCCACTCAAATGTGTGTATGCAACAAAGAAAAAAAAAAAATACACTAAAAACAAAAAGAGAGCCAGAAAAAAAATCAAGTGAGGAGTTTCATAACGGTTTTTGCGAGACATCCTTTTCACGTAAATGTACTTTGACAAACTTTCGAAATTTTTTGTTTTTCTGTTTTTTAATAAAAGCTTGGTAGTGGGTAATTTTATTAAAACTCTACAACCTCGTGATTTTATTGGTGGACTTGAGGAGCACTATACATGTCTAGCGGGTTTAGTTGGTTGAGAATTAACCGTTCTGAGGTATTTCGTTCTTAGGTTGAAGAAAAAAGGGTAAATTCAAGACTAATAATCAGCCTCAACGCCAATTCCATGTGAATAAATCATTCCCATAATTTAATATGCAAAACAAAAAAAGGCTAGCTTTTTTCTTTTACTTTATAATTTTGCGAATATTTCATCCCTATTGCGAGTGTCGACTAGTAGTAGATAAACGACTCTTATTCGATTATCGCTTTTCCATGGTATTGTGAATGTCGTTTTCTCGTTCAATAAGCGACTGCGAATATTTTTTTATCGCACATTTTTCTACAACTGTTTGTTTGTAGAAGGATGAGCGAGTACAAACTATGCACATGTACTTATTGAACGAGAAACCGTCTTTGAAAATACCACGGATAATCGATAATCGACTAACAGTCGTTTATCTACTACTAGTCGGCACTCGTAATAGGGGTGTTTGTTCTCAGGCCGAATGTGAACGGTTGAACACAGCGTGGAACGATATTCTCAAATGCGCTATCGAAAGCTTCTAGTGGGTAGAAGCAGTATAGTCAGACTATGTAAGCAAGGTTTCAGTAGTTGATGGGGACCTATTCAGCAATGACTTCTCTGCAGTGACCGATAACAGTTTTCCAGTTTTGGTTAACAAGAACACAGTGTAATGTCAAGAACGATCCCACAAAAGAACCAAACGAGAACAAAAGTATTGAAAGTAGTTTGAACAGGAACCAAACTAAAACAAAGCTTCGAAAAGGTTTCCGTAAAGGACAAAATGCGAACAAATCTCGAGAACGGTGTTAAGAAGAACAGAATGAGAAAGAAACTTTCGGGAACGTTTCCAACGAGAAACAAATGGGAACGAAAGAATCGAGAACGTTTTTAAGGAGAATCGAATATGAACAAAAGTCGTTTGCGTCAAAAAGTCACACAAAAATTTTTTTTTTCGGAAATTTCTTGCACTATGCGAGTCAAAGCTGTGATGGCGCCAGAAAGCTTTTAGCAAATCAATACCAGGGACCGGGGTATCATGCCAGGGACTCTTTTCCATACATCCATCGTATACTTGTTCCAAACAATTCACACACGATCAACATTAACACGCCAAATTTAATCAGAAAAACTCCATCCTTCAAATTTTTTCATTCAGTTCAAAATTTTTCAACGACACACTTCCAAATTGTCTGTGACCTTTTCTTCTTAAGACCACTTTAATAGTAAGTAGCATCGGTGGCCGCGCCATCTCTAAACACAAACGCATACCAAAATACTTCCCTTTTTTTCTTAATTTGCAGAAATTCGAAAACAAAAACATCTTCAAAAAATGTGCGATCCATGCCATCCTTGTTGGCGGTCTTGCGGACCATGTGGGCCCTGCGGACCGTGCGGTAGCCCCTGTTCGCCCTGTGGGCCGTGTAATCCGTGCGGACCTTGCCGCCCCTGTTGTATACCGAATTGTGGACCATGTGGTTTGACAATGCCTTCGGGACCATATGTACCACCGCCATGTAATCCGTGCAGCATTGGTGCCGGGCCCAGTGGACCGTGCGGTTCCTGCAGACCTTGTATGCCGGGATGCCCCTACGAAGCGCCTGAGTGTGGCACCTGCTATCCATGCGCGCCGACACCGTGGAATACTCAGTGCGGTCCATGCGGGCCGTGCGGTCCACAAGTGCCGTGCGCACCATGTGGACCATGTCCACCTTGCAATCCTTGTGGCCCGTCGTGTTAAAGTTCTATTACAAGTCTAGTCTGACATTTTTGATTTATAATTTTTGAAATTCAATTGAAATATGCGAAACCAAGAGGCAATCAACTAAGCAACAGCTAAACGCCGATTTACTATTATCAAGGTGAGTTTCATGACGAATTTACCTTGATGCGCGCAAATCTATCAAGGTGAATACCACGGAGGCTTGAAACCCACCTTGATATTGGTATTGTGTGCGGGCATCATGGTGGTGTGGTGGTGGTTGACATACACACATACATATTTGATACAAAAATATTCCGTATTTTGTATTTATGACTGTCTTGTATTCTCTTTGCTCGTTGCAGGACCAACATACGATCGCCCACGCGGTATACTCTGTGGGATGCATTGTACCTGCGCGTGCGTGAAGCGAAATGGCTTGCAAGACTTATGCCATTACTCCTTGTGCAGGACGTTATGCTAAAAGGAAGCTTAAAGCCTTTATAAGATGTTAGTACATGATGAGATACAAATAGTTGGTAGGGGTTATTTGTGATTTGATTTGCACAGGTTGATGCTGCTAAGGAATTTAAAGGAGGAGAGAGCAACGCCCGTATTACCCAAGTTATACACAACCTCCGACCTCGCCAATTTGTCGATGGCTATGGTTTCAGGGTGAAAAAAGTATGCAAGCTGTGAAAGTAAATAAAGCAAGGGGCTTGTAGAAGAAAAATGCAAACATTTTGGCGATAATTATGAAAATTGTCTTTTTTTTGATTTCGTTAACGTTCGCATATCAGTAGTGGTGCAACTATGTGGTATATGTGTAACTTAATTTTTAGATGCACCCGGGACTCCTTGAGAATGCAAATGTTAATAAAGAACTAAATGATGGTTTCTATTTTCATTGAAAAATAACTTTTGTTTCACTACGTGGGCATAAATTATGGATATGTACCGAAGTGTGTAGCACATATACTACTTCCTAATAATTATGGTCTCTGTACTTAAGTAGCAGGGCTGGAGAATGATTGAATCAGTAGGGTCTGCATTCACTTGGCACTCGTTTCAAAATTTTGATTGGCTGTATAAAAAAAAAGTTCATTCCTGAGTGGCTTAAATTATTTAATTTTGAAACAAAAACAAACGTAATGTGTTGTTGAATGGCAGAGTTCCATTCAGTATAGAATGTGAATGTAACAAAAGTATTCGCAATCATCGTGATTGTAAATTTTGGTTGAATGCAAACAGTTTTGATCATTCAGTACTACACTGAAAAAATATGCCTTGAAGAAAATATTTATAGGAGAAAATAGTCGTTTTACTTCTGCTTTTCTACTACTGCTACAATTTGGTAAAGCATTACCCAAGACCAAAAGTACGTACCAGCTTTGGATATTCTGTTAATGCTGTTTAAAACCAACTGCATGTTTTGGAAGGAAACTTGCGGTCAATTTTATTTTACGAACTAAATTTTTATTTGTACAAAGAGATATTTTTATTTCTCAATACCAGGCGCTCAGACATATGAAGTAGCAAGCTTTCTATATGCATAAATTTGTTTGTAGAACATTTAAATAAATTTTTTTTGTAGAAGCCTTTGAACTGTACAAAGTAGAATTTTGGAAATTTAAAAATTTATACAAACAATTTTGTACGTAGAAATAGAAAACTTGTTACTTCACATGGAAAACATGAGAAATAGGCAACAATCGTCAATGGCAACAAATTGGCGACTCACCGGTTTATTGCTGTGGTGACAAATCGGCAACAACATTTCTTTCATGTCAACTTTGGAAGAAATAAGTTATCAAAAATTCCTAAACTTATAAATTTCGCGTTGATAGTATTATCCAAAATCGTCTAATTTTTACCAGGGACAGAATTGAAAAAATAGGAAGCCCCATAGGGAAAGAAAGAATTATTTCTGTTTCTATATAAGTTCCAATTTTGTGTACAAAAAATGATTGAAGTATTAAAAAGAATACAATTATTCCAAATATCGCCTGAAGCGATAAGAAAATGACTCATTCAGGTAATAAGAAAACGACTCGCCCAGGCGAGTTGCCTTCGGCGGACGTTTTAGAGCGACTGGTAATAGGAAATCGACACGATGGCAATATTACCGGCAATACATTTGTTACCGAGGGCGAAACGTTTTCTTATTGCCGGCAACAAAAATTGTTTGGTGGGTAATTACTTCACATGCATGAGCGCCTGGTATTGGGAAATGAGAATATGTTCTTTACAAATAAAAACTGATAATAAAGGGTGCCGCGCGAAAATGGGCACATATGTATTTAAAAAAAGCACATTATATGTATGTATGTGGATAAACCATGGACTGAATGATAAAAGCTGCCATCATTTGATGGTTGTTATGCTTGATTATTTAATGTTCTGCAGATTTTCCAATCATTAAAAGAAAAAAAAAAATTATAGATACTAAATTGCCTTGGAACATTTTGCACTCAGTTTTTAAACAACCAAAACTATAAATTTGTACAATATGTTCATGTGAATCAAGCTGCGTTTCATGCGTAGAGGAGTCCAAGCACAACCATTCATTCGTAGGAAATGGCTTAGCCAGCGTGGCCGCTGTGCATTGATACGCGACACTATGTCAATATCGTTTTAAAGTTCATACACCTCATTATTCCATCATCTAAACTTACATATTTTTCTTAGTGTATAAAATTTGATTGGAACTGAATTGCAGAATGCACACATAGCAAAGTGTTCAATCATCTCGAAGCTAATTCAGTATTGAATTCTGTTTACTTCAGCATTCTCAGTTTTTCATTCAGGTATTTACTACCTTACTGTGTGAAATCAATTATTTTTTTGAATGATTGTAGATTGAAAAAAATATAAGCCACACTACCAGACCAAAGGAAAATGAATGAAATCCTACTTGTAAATATTTCATGATTAAAATTTTAAATGATTTGACAATTTTTCAGCTCTGTTAAGTAGTGTAATAATAGTAATGAAACTTAATAAAATAAAGATGGCGTAAAATTACTAAGATGCCAGAGGAATGAAGTTGGGGTATGGTTTAAGAAGGATTTAACGCCTATCCACATAGACGTAAGTCAAGACCACGAAACTTTTTCCTTTGCGAGGACTCCCTTACTGAATCATCGGCTATCACCAACTTCAGTTGCCAGCTAAAGTATTTACAGGTTTGTATTTGGGTTTGAAGTGCCTACAGGACATCATTGATCGATGTTTGTCTGATTCTTCTTTCGTCTACGGTAAGCCAGAAATGTGCATAGGTATTCTCGAAACTACTTGTTAAGTCCAACCTAAAAGCTACCTTAACCGCCTTTTTTCTGTTATGGCCGCTGGACAATAGGAGGTGGGATGTATATTCCGAAATATATGTGTCCATGGAATCTGAGTTTGGGTACTTAGTCCGTAGTTATGTTTATAATTGATCCTTGATTTCACAAAGCTTTGGAAGGTTCCTCACAGTTTTTCTTAAGAGCAGAGCGCCACCCCAAAGCATTATCACCGAAGTTGGCTTAAGGCAGGGCCTGGAATTGGACCAATTTACTCGGTATTACTCGGTTATTTAAAGCAGCGACCGGAAACGCCTTCCAATTCTGGTTTAGTTCTTCATGAGAACAAAATGTAATGTCAAGAACGTTCCCACAAAAGAACCAAACGGGAAGAAAAGTTCTGACGGGAAAAAAAATTAGAACAAATGGTTTGGGAACGTTTCCGTAAAGAACAAAATGCGAACAAAACTCTCGGTAACGTTCTCAAGAAGAACATAATGAGAACGAAACTTTCGGCAACGTTTTCAATGAAAACGAAAGTATGGAGAACATTTTAAAGGAAGATTAAATATGAACAAAATTTTAGGGAACACTGGCTAGATAACAAATCAAGAACAAAAGCTTCGTGAACTTAACGTTATGAGAGAGAAAGAGACGAGTCTGCGTGTTGGAATGTTATATCGTATCAATGAGAACCACGATTGTTAATTCTTAGCCAGAGGAAGTATGGATAATCTAAACTTCCACATCGGTTATCATTAGGGTGAACTGCCTATTTATGATTTAATATTTTAATTTTCGTTCAAGAAAAGTTCGTGTCTTAATCCTTTCGTTGACTTAAGGCTCAGTTAGCCGAGACTTAATTAACGTATCGTAACCTAATATATTGGCCAACGCAATATGTTTTTGTTCAGGAATGTTTTGTTGTTGCTTATAGGCGGCAAAGTGACTATCAGCCGAAAAGGAAAGGAAAAGTTCTTTTTTGATTAATTTTAATATTCAAGCATTTTCAAGCTATGTGAACAATTTTGTTCTTGCTTCATTTCTTCACGTATAGTTCAGAGAAGATTTGTTTCCGTTTCGTTCTCTGTCAGAAAGTTTTTGAGACTTTAGTTCCCAAATTATTCTTCAAGAGAAAGTTCCATAGACTTTTGTTCTTTTTCAAAATGTTCCCGAAAGTATTGTTCGCATTTTGTTCTCTTTGGAAACGTTCCAAACGGGTTTGTTCTTATATAATTCCCATTCCGAACGTGCTCGACAGTTTTCTCTGTTTTGATGTTTTTTTTTTGTTTTGAAGTGTTCTTGGGAACAAAACTACGAGAACATTTTGTTTTGATCATACCTTTTGTTCACGGTCCCTGATTTACAGGCTTGAATGGGTATTATTCTGCCCATTATTATTATAAAAGATATTTTCGCGGTTTGATAACTGCTTAGGGTTAAAAAAGAGGCACGCGTGTATAACTAATAAGCAAGTGCCGAGCTTATGCCGTATTTAGGGGCCGTCTGAGAGCATTTCATCAATGAGGCGTCTGATGGCAGAGTGTAAAATAAATATAGCTGAGCGCTTTATATACGCAGATATAAAGATCTATTATTTGGCTTGTCTTTGCTTTGTCGAACTTGTGTACAAATGTATGTATCTAGGAGAAAGCTCTCTCTGCTGATTGTCAATACTATAGAAAATTGGTATATTACTGCCCCAGCAGCGGACTTTCCCCAGTGAAATAACAATAAAGCAGTTACCCTTTTTTCAGGTACGCGTTTAGAGCTTTATAAGCTTTATAGGCAGCATACATGGTACGTCTGACTCGCGAGTCATTTGTGTACGTCTTGACTACACACAGTTGAATCATTCAGAGTCATGACGGGAGTCATGTTGGTGTAACTAACACATATTTATTTTCACAAACACATCCAAATCGACTCACGAGTCAGAGGCACCGTGTATGCCGCCTATTAAAGGATAACTTGTTTTTTAAAAACACTGTCATTGTCAATACAAATTTTAAGTAAATCTAGCGACATTGGACTTTTAAAAAATATTTTCAAATTTTCTTTCAAAAACTTTTCATTCAAAAATAGTTTTTCGGCATAAAACCAGCTAATAAATTTTCCGTATATTTTCACCGAAAGTGCGTAAAATGTTTAACTATTTAAAATCAAAGCAGATTTTATTGTAATTAACCAATTATGTATAAATAATTCCTGAACTTTTTTCAGAAATTCGTAAAACCTCAAACATGTGCTGCGGTCCCTGTTATGGTTCTTGCTGCGGTCCCTGCTACAGTTCGTATTGCGGTCCCTGCGGACCATGTTGCGGTCCTTGTGGACCATGTTGCGGCCCTTGCGGACCTTGTGGGGGATGTGGCCCTTATGGATCCTGCTGTGGCCGTTGCTAAGCGTCTCTATGCCGTTTCTGTAAGTGCAGTAAAAAAGACAGAGCTAAATAAAGAGACTGCAATGTATAAACCATTATATTTTTTTCAGTCTCAATTCAGCTCCGGGGATCTAGAGAGCCAATGCTAAAGCGGCTATTTGACAGAGAGCGTCGCTGGCAAAAGAAAACAAAAAAAATATTGTGAGTATTTTTGTTTTCGCGGCAACTGCATTTTCAATTGTTCGAAAAATATTGAGAGCTTATTTTGTTTTTAATTAGGAGCAATCTACGTGAATCTAAAGAAGGAAAGAGAGCGTCCAGAGATGATCACCTTGCCAATCAAGGGGACTGGAAAAAATTAAGTGCAGCCAATCTATAGCTATATTCGAATTTTTTCGGTTACAATTCTGTTTTTTTTCTTTTTAATAAAAGTGTATTTCTTTTATTAAAATGTATTATTTTTCATCAAGTTTTTGGTGACTAGGTTTGGTTTGGAATAGAGCAGTGATACAGCAAAAGCTACTACTGGAGTCATTTGGTATTTATTTTTATATGTAGTGAGTTTAGTGAAGCGAATGGATTGCCGGACGCTAGTACCAGCTTGTGCAAGTTCTTTGCTTCGCGAACATTTTTAATCTCTTAATCTCTTAATTCGTTCCGCCAAACCGTTCGCTTCGACAAAATCAAGGCGAATTTATACAAGGTGGTGTTATCGGATCCGCTGATTTCACGGCGAATTTGTACCTTTTGTCAAAATGGTGTGTTTGTTGTAATTTTGCTTTGTACTGATTGTCAATGTGCGTATAATTTGTTGTTTGTAATTTTTGTTTTTGTTCTGTCAACACCACCTTGTATAAATTCGCCTTGGACAAAATTATTCGCTTCGCAAGCGATGATACCACCACAGGCGAATTCGCCTTGATACCACCCTATTTCCACCATGGCTCCGAGGATAGGATGTGTATCGCATTTTGTCATGGTAATTAATTATTGAATCATGCACTGCCATATCTTTCAAAATTAGTTGACATCATTTTTCAAACACAAATAAAAAAAATTTTTTTTCGGCACAAAATTTGCTGTCTGACTTCTTTTCAAATCACCAAAAAGTAAGTATGCAAATTAAAAAATACCCAGCGTTAAATAACTAATAATTTCTATAATCTTTCAGAACACTTTCTAAGTGAACGAATACAAAATGTGTTCTGGCTGTAGTCCTTGCTGTTGTTCGCCATGCGTTTGCCCATGTCGATATCTGAAACGGACAGACTTCTGCTGCCGTTGGCCATGTCCATGTAAGGCTCATTGTTATAATACGCCACCAAAGTGTTGTTGCTAATAAAAAAATAATAGCTTGGCGCTGCTAGCCAGAACGTTATTTTTGAATATACATACATATAATGCTTTTGGATTAAGAAGTTCTTTAATGAAAAATAAAATATTTTGGATTAATCAATGGTGGTGGTCTTTATTTTGGATTACTATGATTTTGCTTAGGATACAACTCTGGGGTTAGATACTTAAATAAATTCCCACTCGAATAGATCCGTTGCTTGAGTTCCCGAATAATCATTCGCCACCTAGACAAATGTCTGATGTGACCAGATCCGGAATCCTGAGTTTTGGCGGAGAAATTCCTACTGGGATTCTAGAAATCGTCATAGCCAAAAATGTCAAAATAACAGGTGCGACTAAAAGTATGCAACATCAAAACCGAAGAGGTGCAATATGAAATCGTAAAAATGGGTCACAGGTCGTGACTCTCACGAGACAATACGTATTTTAAGGCAGAGATGATATTTAAATGCTTTCGCCAAACGAAATTTACAGAACGATTTTTGGAATCCCACTGCAAATTTTTTAAATTAATAACATAAGCGCCTTAAATTATGCCACATAATTTTGTATCATGACTGACAGCTATTGCACTTTCAAATATTTAAAAAAAAAAAAAATCACAATCTTAGAAGGCGAATTTATATTAATTCACCTAGCAATCTTCGCTTCACTTGTCAACCCACTTTGCACAATATCATTTCAAAATTTCTCGAGTATAAAATAATTTATTTGCTGAAGGTAAATTGCAAATTTGTACGCAATTTTTAGTTAAGAAAAAATTTACATACCAATCGTTTTCGCCAACAGCAACCAGCCCCAACAAAACTAGAGATGTGCGATCCTTGCGGTTTTTCTGTTGCTCCAGTAGGCCCATACGGACCAGTAGGACCCTATGGACAAATTACCGCATGCGGGGCGCATGGCATCTGTGGCCCGCCGTGCATACCAAATTCAACACCATGCCCACCTTGTTGCGATCCATGCTGTGTACCACCACCACCACCACCATCATGCGATCCATGCGCCAATTGTTGTCCAAACTCCTGCTGCCTCTGAAATTACGAAGCACATTGACAAATATAAATAGAAGTATTGCATCTGGGCAAAAAAAAAAAAATGCAGGCGCAAAAGATAATATCGATAAGTCTGCCTTATGAGCACCAACATATTCCCGCGTAAAGTCGGTACTAAGTTTAAGGCTAGCCACCAAAATGCAGTACAATTTAAAGAATTTTTATCCTGGACTCGCAAATATACAGAAAACTTACTACAAAAGCAATAAACCATGACTATTTTACTGGGGAGGTGCATTGACTTTCTGGGTGAAGGCAGATAAAGGATTAGATTCTAGTACAGTTTCGTCCTAAAACGATTGGTATACAGATGGGTTATACTAAGGCCGGGATTTCCGGTGCTAATATTTGCTAGTCATTCAAAATCGTAAATGCTGGCTTCCTTTGGCACCCAATAAACAATAAACTAATCACTGGAATATAAAACACTTTTTACGGGAGAGGGCGGCGAAAAAAAGTAGAGACCGTGGAACAACATTGGACTCAGCGGGTTGGTCTAGAGCAGGGATGGGCAGATTTTTGGCTCTTAAGACGCCACGTCCTTTGTTTCCCTGACACAATAATTGCATCATTCCTTTTTCAAATAAAAAGCAACTTGCTTTAAATGTAATCCACTCAAGTTCTCAATGAGAAATGTTTGATTTGTTTTTCGACACTTTAATCAAATAGTTCAAAAACGTTTCGGCCTTTTCTTAATACACATCAAAATTAAAGCACCGATATTTTCTTCAAACTAGCAGGTATGCAAATAGCTATAAATTGCGCACCACACGCTATATACTAATTAGCCCTTTATTTTACCATTCTCACAGCCTACTTGCAATACGAATCTCAAAATGTGCGAACCTTGTTGCGGCTGCTGCGGCTCATATGGCTGTCCGACTGGACCTTGTGGTCCCTGCGGTCCATGTGGCCCATGTCAGCCTGGCGCACCATGCCAGCCTTGCGGTCCGTGTGGACCCTGTGGTCCTTGCATCTCACGCGGTCCGTGCGGACCGTGTGGTACCTGTGGCCCTTGCTGCAGCCCATATCCCACCTGCTGCCCGTTCGGTTGTCCGTGCTCCAAATGCCCGAACCCATGTCGATATCTAAAGCCCAAATATTGAGAAAACGCGCGATATGTGTACCGGATAGGCTATGCAAATTGGATAATGGATGTGCGGCGGACTTGTCAGGCTATGGAAAGGCAAATTTGAGGTGAAACTGGAATTTCAAATGCGCAGTAGAGGAATTGTAGTGGCGATCAATGACAGCAAATAGAGAAAAAAATGTCATAGATGCTAGGAATATTTATGAGATCTTCTATTTTGCCATGTATCCTGTTGTTCATTTGATTTTTTTTTTTTTTTTTTTTGTGAAGAAAGTATCCTTTTTATTTGAAAAAATAAACTTTGTTATTAAAAATAAGACCTTGAGTAATTTAAGTTACCATTAGATAACGAAGTATGCCTCTACAGAGATTTTTAAAATCTGTCAACTAAAAATTCCAAATTTTATATTCGGAAATCAAAATTTCAAATTGTTGAACGTGGACATCATTTCCTTGGAGGCGTTGCTTTCGGTAATTTCACCGCATATCAAATTGTGAGTGATGCGCATAAATTATAACCATGATGATCTCTAAATTTTATTTCATTCTTATTTATCTGTTTTTTTTTCAGCGTTTTTAATCACCTAATGCAGTACCCTTGTTGGAGTTATCGACCTGCTCCCTGTGGTCCGTATGGTCCCTTTGGTTCATGGGGCTATATAGGACCATGTGGAGCCTTGGGTACGTGTACGCCTTATGGTGCGCCCTGTGGTTCCTGTCAGCCGTGTGGCTCATCGTCCTGTTCTCGCCGTAGGTGTTACTGAATGATTGGATGCTAAATTAGTTGGTAATTTACAATCAGGAACGCCATCACAGACCGAGCAATTAATTGGGTTGTTTAAAAGAACAAGTGTTTGATGTAAAAAAAATGGTAAAAGTTCAATTTTAGCAAACACAAAAAGGTTTAAAAAAATATTTATTTTTTTATTTTTTTGAGGTTTTGTAAAAATAAATTATGCAAACTTCTCAAAAACGTAAATATGTAAGCTCCAAGGCAATTTAAATTTAGTGAAAATGCGGGTTATATATATATATGTATATATATATATATATATATATATATATATATATATATATTTTATGCTAAAAGAATTGCCTAAATGACATAAAAATGTGTACCATTATACCAATTCAAACATTATAGTTGTGATGGAACATATTTTTTGGCTTGCTTTTTAGCAAAAAAAAAAATCCGCGCTCTATTGGAACGGATTGCCGATTTTTCCCCCCTGACCGCGAGATGTAGACGGAGTCCTCCAAATTTTCGAATAGACGTCCCTTTAATAAAATGTAACACTGCCACATTTATTGACGCTCGAATACAACCAAGTTCATAGGGAGATCTCGAAAATATTGTAGCCAATTGTATAGGAGTGGTCATCGCAAACTGCATAAATGACTGGTTAACCTTGAACTCAGAACATAGACGGGACAAGGCCAATAATAGGGACCGGTGGGAAGTCTGTGGCAATCTAGGCTCTTTGCACGTAAGGAAACAAGCCTTCTAAATACCTACGACTGACATGAGGTTACTCACTGGGTATCCGATGGGTCATAATCTTCTATGTTTTCATATGGAAAGGATTAGCTTGTCCTCGAGAACGGAAGACATACATATGTATGCGGGATTCTCCGGCATTTTGCGCACAATGTCTTATACTCTTCAACTCGTACATAGTGGATGCATTAGAAGTAGCAATTCGTCTACTTAGTTAGCATTTGTTAGAAAACCGGAGGGCATCTTAGTTAGCGATTACATTGTCGTACAAAAGATCTTCATTGTTCCAGCTTGCCACTGGTTCACTACTTCTGCAATCAGCAGAAAAGCTCACTACTGTACAAATAGCAAAAAATTCAACGAATCTAGGGATATGTAATTAATGTCATGATGCATTAAAATTTGAATTTTTTATTTAAAAAAAAAAATCCCGAAGCAGGCCCACACAAAATTTTTGTTTGCACATTTTTTTTTGTTTAGCCGCAATTTCCTAATTACGTTGTAAGTAAAAATGTACTTTTATCCACGGGCATTGCATTTTAAACCATTTTCTATTCTTGTTTTCTACTTTCAAGCAACTAAAAAATCGTCCGAGGATGTGTAATCCCTGTTGCTGTTGCGAGCGGTGCAGACCTTGCGGTCCATGTCGGCCATGCAGTCCTTGTGCTCCCAACTGTTGCGGTCCCTGCGGTCCGAGCGGATCATACGGCTCATGCTTGGATTGTCGTAAGCCCTGTGGTGAATCTAATATTTGTTGCCCCACAGGCTGTTTCCATTTCGGGTGAGGCCATCAAAGCGTGAACGAATTTAGAGAAAGTGTGTTTGCGAGGCGAAGCCAGGTGCCCATGTTGCCTGCATTTTTGTGCAAACACAGAACGGACTGAAATTTGCAAAGCTAAGTTAGAATAATATAAATACATACATACATACATACAATAAGATTTGTGCAAAATGATATTTTAGTTTTAACACATACAATTCTTGGCCAATAAACACAGACTACAATTCCGTTGTGACATACAAAAGGTTGTTGTTTGGCTTGGAGGAAGATGGGAAAAGATTGAGTTCAGCGCGAAGCGGCATTAATCCAGCCTTGGTAATCTTATTGCGCGCTTTTCCTTTGATTAGTGATATGGAACCTGCGATACTTGCAACGCAGGTGGTTCGCGGGGATCCAGCGTCAAGTTTGCTCAGTCGCGCTTGAAGTGGTTACACAAATCTGGGTAACATTACAGTCGTATTCGGTTTGGGTGCATTCGAGCTATAATAAATGAGGCAGTGTTAAGGCGCTGGCCCAATGCAGGCTTGCTTTGCACGCCTTACTTACTTTAATTTGCTTTGATTTACTTCAAAAACTCGTTTGGCCAAATGACGGCTTGGAACGCTGTCAAAGCTACCAGCTGTGTAGTTAAAAAATTAAGGTCTGTTCCCTTACACTAAGAATAATTCTCCCACAAAATTCCAGAAAACTAAAAAAAAAATACAAACAATCTTTTCAGATTTATTTTTAAATTGATGCGAATTTGAATGCATTTCAAAGGAATGATAATTATACATATATAACTATAGGTACATTTATTAAAAACAAAAAAAAAAATCCAATTCTTCAAGAGAAGACTGACCAGTAGTTTGACATCATAAATATCGCTAGCTAGCAAGAGAAATTAAGGATTAATGTACTTGTTTTATTTTGTCTTATTTATATTCAATGAAAGGCAAATTTTCTAAGTCCAGAAGAGGCCCCGAAAATCCGATAAGGCCAAAATAATACGAAATCTTTTAATAAAGATCGAATCCTTTTGATTCGTATGGAGTTTTGCTTTGCTTTAAACACGCAAAATGTTGTATTCAAAGTTCCTGTAAAATTTGTAAAAATGGACTCAGCAACTTTTCAGCCAGCGATATGTTAAATATAAATATGGAAACATATAATCATTTTTATTAAACTTTGAATAACTTATATTATATATATTTTTTTTAATTACGTAAAAAAATTTTTGTACATAAAAGTATGCAGCAGTTTGTTTGAAATGATTTAGAACGGGAACATACCTTTTTGTCAAAAGCCTACGAAACGCTTTCAAATAAAACATTTGCCTATTTGAAACTTTGAGGCGCTTAAAGCAAGTGAAGCAAAGCTGCCATTTGGCCAGCCTTCATACTAATATAATAACTTTTGCCAATACCTTAACTTTCTAAGCAAAAATTTGGGCGCCTGTGTCTGCATCACGCTTGACAATCTGCAGAATCTGCAGCATTTAAGTAGATTTACAGTTGAGCATCACCAACAGAGCATCGAGAAGGCAAGAAGCTGCAAAATTGCGGTAATAATTTGGTATGCAGCTCGAAGGCCACGCTTTCACCTAGCTCTTACCTAATCTGTTTTGTTTTTAAAGCTTTTGTTTCCCGGTTCTGAACAATACTACGGTGCTCAAGCTTTTCGCTGGAATGTACATCAGCCATGCGCGGAAATTCTAACCAGGGCTGCCAACTTTCATTAGCTATAGGGTGCCATACTGGGGATAAAAATGTACCAAAAAGTGTCAAACAAAAAAATTCAGGTGCTAAAAAGTGACAATTTTTTTACTTCGGAACCACAAGCCACATGCCCCCTTTAATTACTTCTCAAATGCCTTTAAAAGACTTCAGTCTAAAGTTCGCTTAGCTTTTGCAATGACTATAAACAAGAATGCCTTAAAATAAAACCCCAAACTTTAGCGAAAATAGTGAAATTAGACCAGAAATAAAATATAACATCTTTACATAAATTATATTTTATATTTGTATAAAGACGTGGGGTGAAACCCGCGGGTAAAAGTTGGTTTCTAATAAAATGAAATAAATAATTATTTGATATATCCGGATTCATTGGATATTGGAAAATAATATATGCATGTACTTATGTAAGTTTTAATTTTGCGAGTGCATAACTTGTTCTTTTTGATGCATCCAGATGCTCTGGGAATATTTCTGCATAAAAAAAAATAATAATTAAAAAAAATGTCGCTTACGTTATTTTGGCGGTTAGGGCTCGATATATTCTAAATATAAACTAAATCTGAACATATGTTGGTGCAGGACTTCGAATTAAATAATAAATTTTTAGAAAAGTATTTGAGGTAAAATAGAACGAAAACTGACGCCGTTTGGGACAAATTGGCAGTCCATATTCCCACCCTTTAATGTACGTAGGTACATATCTATATACATGTGTATGTACGCAACTAAGTACATACGTTGAGCTTTTACACCTGAGCTTTTATACTATCCACTTAAGCACTAATACGTACATACATATGTATGTATGTTTGTATACTCACTAAGTCAGCTTTCAGACACGTCAAGTCCTGTCTGTTCGTTCGTAGGCGAAGGAAGTGAGTAGAGAGAGGATGAGTGCTGGTACCCCCGTAACGTTAATTCGTTTCAAGTTTTCTTGTCTCTTTTGATCTTTCACGGTGCATCCCATTAAAAGAACCAAGGACTTGAATTCAATAAAAGTCGACGTGTGGGAATAGGAAACACAAAAGAGAATGCGAAAAAATTACTTTCAAGACTTGATATATCTGAAAGGGTACTAACCAGCGCAGCTTGGGAAAGCTTCGCCGCTGAAAGCTGCTAACGGTTCATCAGCTGTAAAATCAAATCGAATCACAAAAATGCAACTGATTAAACAAGCAGTTGCAAAGTATAACTTGTGTAGCGAGTGCATTCTACTGCGTTTCATACATTTCACAAGTTGTGGAAAAATACCCTTGCGCACATCAGCCATGTTCAGCTTGTGTTTGTCACTATGTCTTTGCCTCATAGTCGCTGTGTATATCTGGTTGCGTCAGCATTTTCGTTATTGGCAAGTGCGTGGGCTACCGCAAATCCCGCCCACACTGATCGCTGGCAATGTCTTCGATCTGCTACGTTACCGCTGCTGCTTTGGCGAACAATTCCAGTCGCTCTACGATCATCCGGCCGCCAGCGGTCATGACTTTGTGGGAATACATGTGCTGCATAACCATGCGCTGTTGTTGCGTGACCCTGCGCTCATCAAACGTGTGCTCGTGAGTGACTTTAGTGCATTTGCCAGCCGCTTCGAACGCACTGACGCTGATGGCGATGCGATGGGTTCGCTGAATTTGTTTTTTGCGCAATACGAAGTATGGACGGAGATACATCAGATATTTTCACCACTATTTTCTCACGGGAAGGCGAAGCAAATGTATCCGCTGCTGCAACAGGTGTATGGCAGAAGACTTTATTTCATACAAAGAACATAAAAACAAAAAAAAAATATCTCTTACAGGTAGGCAACAAGCTGGAGGAACACATGGCCGCTTTGAGTTTCGACCAAAAAACCCAATCAGTCATTGTGGAAGTGAAGGAGCTGAGTGCGCTCTTCACCACCGATGTAATTGCTTCACTCGCCTTTGGCATCGAGGCGAACAGCTTGGCAAATCCGCAAGCCGAATTTCGACGCATGTGCATCGAAGTTAACGAGCCCCGCTTCAAGCGCGTTCTACATCTCTTCACCATTTTCTTCATGCCTCAGTGGGTGGAGTTGATCAGCGCACATCTGTACTCGCCGGAATATGAAAAGTTCATGCGCTCCTCCATTGAGTATGTAATTGAAGAGCGTACGCGCAACGGAGCGCAGCGCAACGATCTGATTGATATATTTATAGCGCTGAAGCGAGAAGCAGCTGGCAGCTCGAATGAAAGTGTGGTGCAGAAGCGTGACTTCTTCGTGGCTCAAGCGGCCTTCTTGCTGCTGGCCGGCTTCGACACGTCCTCTTCGACAATCACTTTTGCGCTTTACGAGTTGGCCAAGCAACCGGAGATACAGCGTCGTTTGCGCGCCGAATTGTTGGAAGCGCTAACAAAAGGCAATGGCTCGGTTAATTATGACACCATCAATGCACTGCCGTATCTGCGCATGATTGTCGATGAAGTTTTGCGTCTGTATCCGCCTACCTCCTTTCTCGATCGACGCTGCACCGCCGAGTTGGGTTACGAAATAGATCATCAGAGTGGCTACTGCATACCACAAGGCACGCCCGTCTACATTTCTGTGCTCGGCTTACATCGGGATGAGCGGGTAAATATGTTTGCTAAGCGCTAATGCGCATTTTTTCTCAAAAAAAAAATTTCTTGCAGTACTGGCCCAATCCACTCGAATTCGATCCTGAGCGTTTTTCAGCTGAAAATCGTAAATTGCATACGCCAATGAGTTATCTACCCTTTGGCGCTGGTCCACGCAGCTGTATTGGCACGTTGCTGGGTATGCTGGAAGTCAAAACGGGGCTGGTACACATTTTGAAGAATTTTCGTGTGGAAACTTGCTCGCTCACTGCACCGGAAATGAAGTTTGAGGCCAAGGCTTTCGTTCTGGCCCCAGACGGTGGCACTTATTTGCGTTTCGTTAAGGATAAGCTCTTCTGATGGAAATAAATTGCATGAAATTGAGTTGTAGGTGTTCTCAATTTGTCATGTTTTGTAGCCTGCTGAGGTGATGGCGCGAGTTTTGGTTTTCTCGCATCAATCTGGTAACGTCGTACCGATAATTGCAATATACAGTAGAAGCATTTATTTTTTCCATGATTAGCTCTTTCCCGATTCAAGAAAATTATCATTGATATAATGTACAGGTTATAACGGGCTTTAGAAGGTAGTAGTTTGAAAATATTTTGAAGAGGGTTGCCACCTGCATAAAATGTCGAATTTAGTTAACTTATATGTATATCTACAAGTTATATTAAATATCAAAAGAAAGAGTGTTAAGAAGTCTTCAGTTTGAACACTACGAATATTTTTGAGATTTTCGAAGAGGGTTGCCACCTGTTTAAAAGTATTTAATAAGATAAATGAATTATTTAAATACGGGCGTCAATCGTAGGGGGTTTGAAAAATTTTTATTTCTGAGCTATATATAACGGGGTTGCCACATGTTTAAAAAATCAAATTCAACATAATTCATCAGTTAATTACAAAATATACATCGCATTGTCAGACGAAGGAAAGTTAACAATGTTTGAGCTTTCAAATACTTTTGAAGAGGGCTGCCACCTATTTAAAAGGTCGAATTTAGTTAACTTATACACAAATTTCAATAAATATTGAGATATGGGTGTCAATCGATAGAAATTTATGCAAGCTAAGCTTTAGTTTGAAAAATATCTTTGATTAGGCTGGCCATCTTTTCGCAAAGTCATATCGATGTAACTAATTATAGTTATATGTCTATTATTCGAGAAAGTATTCTTTGCGATAGTCATTTGATTTGCACCTATCTTTGGCATTTAAAAAATGAGCGGTCAAATTAAAGACCTTAGCCTGCAAATGTGCGATAAAGCTTTTGTTTTGTTTATTAACAACTTTTTTATCGGTATAGTATCAGAAACGGCTGTACGAATTTAGATGAACAATGGCACTCGGATCGCTTATAACTCCGACTAACATTTGGAATACTTTTTAGATTTTGAAATTTAATTTTGAGCATTTTAACGCCGTGCGGGTTCACTAGTGGATTTAAATTTCACTTACATGTTTCAATGCTAATTTCATTGCCTTTTTAGAAAATCCAATCGTGCATATCCAACCAAGTAAGTACACCACGGTCGTCTTATTTAAACGCATCTCAAATCACAAGTTTTTATTCCCACAATTATGTATGTACGTTGTTTTTTTGTTTAGTTTGCTTTTTGTTATCAATTTACACACGACAAAAATGTTTATAACTATGTACTTATTTATCAGTTTGTTTTTGTTTTACATGCCGCAGCTAGTAGTAATTATTTGTATGCAATAAATTTATAATAATTGATTTATGATTATTACTTTTTTCTGCGCATAAACAAATGGTAATAATGGCCAGTTTACACTATTGATTCACTGTTTTTTTTTTTTTGCTTCAGTAAATACTTTGTGTTTGTATGTAACTATTTCAATGTATGTTTAAAGCAAATGTCGTCATTTAAATATACGAATCTAATGAGGCTCTGGAATAAGGCAATTTCGCAAGATATTTTCTGTTTTACAAATGATAAACGAATGGTTAAAGCCAAAATAATGGAATCAACGCAGAATTTTTGACAAGGTTTCGAAAGAGGGCGTTCAATACCTTTCTAGTCTCATGCACAGGCTCTCATGAAAATGAAACTCGCCTGAATTGAAAATTAAAAAAAAGAGACAAGTTACTACAGGTAAGCGAAACTAGCAAATTAGTAATTCCCTGCTTCTACACAAAGCAGGCGGCAAAGATTGAAGTAGCCTGAAGTTATGGTTAAGTTTTTGCAATTTTTTATTTTTTTTTTTTTGTTCATACGACGTTGCGCACTTTTCCCATGTAAAAAACTATACAACACCGCCGGCAAAAAAATTTATCAAAAATCATCGAAAATTTTGAGCCACTTCAAACTTGCGCACTATTATACTAAAACTAAATGGGCTATTAAACTGCATAACCGAAATTTTTCCAAAAACTTAAAAAAAAGTTTAAAATCTTGATGAAGTTTCCTAAATTTTTTACAAAGTTTGAAACTTTTATTTATACAGTTTCTGTTACAGTGTGAACTAACTATATTGAAAAATATGTTTTTATTAATTTAAAAAATTCTGCTTTATTTTTTTTTTTTTAAGCGGTGGTACGGTTTGTGTGGCCACAAGTGTATTTAAGTTTTAATTTTCCAAGATTTTAAATGCAAAAACCTTTCCTGTTTTCTTTTATCAGCCGAAGTATCTGACATGGCGCTACTAAATCGGTTGGTAATACTGTTTTACACGAATTTCTAACGCAAATAAAACATGAATCTTATATCGAATATATTTTTTATTTTGACTTCAGCGCCACCTAGCGGTTGCATATTTTGCAGATCTATGTCTTCCTATATTTCAATTCAATATATGCCAAGTTTGAAACAAATCAGATCATAAATACGGCTTTTCACAATATCTGGAGCCTGGCGCTACCTAACTAATCTGTGGTATGAATAGGACTAGAAACTGCACGGAGAATTTTAATACGATTTTTGTACCTTATCCCTAGAAATCTGATCTTGCATAGGCTATAAAATAATCCACTAAATGACGCTGAACATCGATACATTTAGTAAAGCCTGATTAAAGGTCCGATTTGCTTCAAACTCTCAATATACATAATATGCCAATATGAATGAGTGTTTGTATATAAACTTTAAATTTCTTATCCACATTGTATGTATTAACTATTTGAAAATAAATATATTCGTAACAGTTAAGCCCTCATGCCGACGGAATGATGGGAGTGTAACAGAGTAAGGGCAAGTCTGCATATAAACGGTCAAGGTTGCAGTCAATTCGACATACTGCCGCCAACGGAAAAAGTAGAATACCTTACAGGCTAACCTAATATTCACGCACGCCGCCAATTTATTGTCAAAAATTTCTCATGCACATGCAACTTGTATGAGATCAACCGAAATTGAACGGCGTGCGTATGAAGCTAACTCAATTTCCAATTTTTGTTCTGCGTGACATTTTGATTTGACGTTTCGCTCAATGAAATCAAATGCAAACGCATGCAAGTCAATTTCGGGTGACGCAAAAAAAACAAATTCGACGGCATGCGTACCAAAACGCAAGCCGCGAATATTAGGTTAGCCTGTTATATCTACTGCTGAGTGGAAGATCGACCTATCTCGGCAGCCAGTTCGAAAACGCCCTATCTCAAAAAACTTTTCATGAACGCCCTATGATTAAAAGTTGAAAAATACAATTACAGCATAATCGTTCTAGTGACATGACATTTTACTGTACATGTACATATCGAGCTTTAGCGGCAAAAATTATGTAAGCATTTTTTTTTTTTTTTTTTTTTAATTTTGTTTATGCAGAAATGCATCTACGTAGATGGTCTAACAGCATTTCAGCATCAAAAAGAAAATTTTGAAAAAAATTTAGCTTAAGCTGCCTTTAAATGAGGCGATTTTTTTTTTGAAAGGCGATTATCGCCGGCAAAAGTTCACTTGCACTATACTTTGAGGCAAACGATTTTTTGAATCACCACGCGATATTTATAATGCAAAAACTTTTTGTTGTTAATCTTACATAAAAACACATAGAGATATCTGTTGTCACCTCCAAATTTACGAATATTTGCTAACGGCCCTCTTTCTAAGCTCGGGCATCGTAGGTAAATGTGAAAAATTTATTACACTGCCCTGAAGTATTATTTGTTGAAGGGCAGGGTAATGAAGCGGAGGAAAAGCATTCACGCATTTAGGTTTATAGTATAACTTGATTTTTATTTTGCCTTACTCAGTTTTGATTTGCAAATAGTTTGCTTTGTTTTTACTTCTATGCGCTGTTTGTAAACAATTTGTAAGCCATTTCTTAATTAATTTGCAAGATTTGCTTCAATTTAATTTATAAATTTGATTTTATATTTTTAGTTATTTTTATTATATTTATTTTATAGTAATTATTAGAATGTACGTATTTATGTTTATATGTATGTATTTAAATTAATGTATCTATATGTATATGTATTTTAAAAGGCTAACTACGTCTAACAACTAAATATTAATTGATATTTTTAGGCTTAATAATTTTTTTGTTAATTATTTTATTTAACGTTTGCTTGTACGCATTTATTTTATTTATTAATCTTTTCTCAATAAATCTCGAAGAGCAGAATATCAACTAAACAATTATAATTTACACAGATAAACACGCACGTTTTTATTTAAATCATTTGTGTTGGTTTTGTTTTGGATTTTAAGAACTAGGCAGGATTATTATATATACATGTATGTATGTATGTGTGTATATACATATATTCTTTAAATAGGTCAACATATGAAATACATATATAGGTATGTCTGTCCGTATGCACTAGAAAACGTACAATAATGGTCGCAGGTAGGTAAATGTAAACCGCGCAAATGTGTTGTTGTTGTACGAAAAATACGCGTATGGATGTGTGAGTGTGGTCACAGAAGCTTGCGGAGGTGGGAAGTTTGTAATCTTTGTTTTTTTTTTTTTTAATACATAATTAGAAAACATAAAATGTAAAATGAATAGGAAATGTGATCAGCGGTTTTTATTTGCCTGACGATAACCCTAAAATTCGCTATTTAACTGAAAAAAAAATAAAATCTAAAGGCTTTTCTCAAATAACGTATGTATGTAAATATGTAAGCGTATGCAATTATATGCGAAAAAAAAATTGAATTGAGAAGACGTACAGTCAAAGGAGATGCCAAAAATGCAAGTGAAATATGAGAATGAATAACGCATGCACTCGCTCTTCTCAGCGCTATAATACGTATGGATGTATGTATGTATGTATGTAAGTAGATGCGCGCGCTGTTTTTCTTCACTGCGTATTTTTGTTGTATTTAAATAGCTTAACTAGTTAATTATTACTTATAGTTTTCACAATTTTTGCAGCAGCTTTGTATTACAGCATGTACGCCTATGTAATTAGTAGTATTAATTGCATATTTTCAGCAGCAGAGTCTAAATGATCCTAACGATCAAGCGGAACAAGAACGTTTAAATTCAAGCAAAAGTTGTACTCGTTTCAATAGTTTTGTATTTTTTTTCGCGTATTTGTAGCTTGTTTTTGTATTTAACCCAGCTATTCTTTTATGTTTTTTTTTTTTTTTTTTCTTATTTGAGAAAAAAACGTTAAAATTTCAGTTCATTTTTGTAGCAAATGCCAAAATGTTTAGTACCTACACAGTTTACTACATTCGATAGATTTAGCAGACAAAATTAGTAAGCAATTTGATATAACTTTCATTCCTCACTAAAAAATAGTTTTTTTTTTATTTTATTTAAACAGATAAACACACACATTTTAAGACACGCTTACCGTATACCAAAAATAATAATAATTTAGAAATAAATGGAGAAAAAAGTTAAATGTTTTTGTTATGGCCTTCTGTATTAAGTCCAAAGCGATACTAATTTTTGACCAAATTTAGTACTTGCTACAAAATTAACACCCCTATGCTGAAATCCGACTTTAAGTATATTATGAAGTCGTAGCTCCGCTCCGCAAAATATAAAAATGGTATGCATTGGCAACCAAAAACCGAAAGCTCGAAGTTCTTGAAAAGCTTTTTTGACAGAAATAAATAAACAAATATCATTGCAAGTGAAGAGCGAAATTTGTAAGGAAGTTTTAAAAAACTATTATGGATTCATAGTCGCTGCATAAGCTTTTTTGGGAACAATTGAATGGTCGCCGCGAATAACGTTGTAAGCGGACAAGTTTCTTTCAACTTTGCCGATATAAAAGTATAATGTACATTTTACATTAAACTTTTATACTTTAAGAGCAAGTTTATTGAATAGTCCTGTACCGAAAAAATAGAAAACCAAATCAAATGAGCTTATCTACATATGTGCGTCATTAAACTCATTTTATTTTTATTTCTGCAAAATTATAATCTTGTCACTTACAACGTTATTCGCGGCGACCATTCAATTGCATAAAAGGGCAAAGGCAATGGTTAAGAGATGCTACTGCTCTATTTTTCATTTTAAGTGTTGCGGAGGAACAGTTTCGGCTAAGTGTAAAATCTTCGTCAGTGGCTTCGTTGTAGGAATTTATCAATATGGTATTGGAAACGGCCATAATTTGAATTTGGCGCTCTTTAAGCACTATTTAGATTACATAATTTTAGTTATTTGTGCGCTTACAAACGTATTATTATTCTAGTAAAACTCGTTCAGTTCCGACACCATTTACTCTTCATACAAAATTTCCGCAAAATTCTTCAAAATGACAGCCACGTTGGATTCTGTCATACGAACATTACGAATTACCGAAGTGGCCACCGAATTTCGAAATAACGATACGAAAAAGCGGATAACAGCATACCAATATTTCTATTGCGTAGCAAAATCGAACGTACGGTTGATTAAACTCTTGATCTTGAAAAAATTTAATAAATATTAAATTCACGACAAATTTAGTGTCATGGAAGCTAAATCAGCACATCACATCACATGTTGTGCTACTTAACAAAAAAAAAAAAAAACAAAAAAACATTACAACAACAGAAATTGATTAACAGTTGCTAGACTATTTAAAATCACCAAAGTGTTATAGACATCCGGGTTGAATCCTCGCGTTTTGTAGGGGTTTTCTTTTTTTTGGAAATTTGAAGATAGTCTAAAAATTTGCTAATTGTAAAATTTTGAATTTTTGTGGTTATGTTTGAAATAATAGCTTTATTAATAAGGAAGCCTATTAGATTACGCGAAAAAACGAACAATCACGATCACAAACGAAACACTCGCTTCAAAAATGTAAACCTAAAAGGAGATGAGTTTTTCGCCTAAAGAGATAAGAGCATGTAAATTTTTTCCTATAACTATGAATTCTTGTTGAAAAATCCACAAATCCGAAAAGTTAGATTTCAAACCTCTTCTGTTTCATTATTTTTGGAATAAGGAATTTTTATTGGATATCGTCAATAGAGCCTACCCGGTATATAGATATTTTTCAGAAGAATACTCATTTTTACAATACAAGTTAATAAAGGCATTTCCTTAAACGGTAAAAATGCTCCAAAAACCTTTAAGGTCTCGAAAATTTTTCGAAACTGTCAAAAGTTTGTATGAAAACATTTCAGAATTTCGAGTGTTCCAGCTTTTCAAGTTTAAGAGAGTCGGTTAAATATTAGATCTGGAAGTATGTACGCTTGCCATAAGGTCACTTCAAAAAATATGTAATTGTAATTTTCTTATTTCCAGGACGCAACTGTAATGCTTCTTAACGGCCCTACATATTTTCTACTAATAAAATGAAATCAACGAAGATCACACGAAACTTGTCGAACATATGTAGAGATTTGTTTTCATAAACTTGTAGCCTTTTGCCTATATAACAAATTCCTATACGATTGACCGATCCCCACACACTCGAAGAACTGAAAAGTTTGAGACTCGAAAATATTACTCATACAAATTTTGAAAGTTCAGTCAATGCTTGGAGGCTTTTGAGTCTCTTTTCCATTTAAAGGGAGACCGCTAATAAATTCTTAAATTTCCAAAACGTAAGTCGTATCCAACTAACTACTACACTACTCCGTTTAAACCAACTACTACTTCTTTATAACTCACTTGTCGAATTGTGTTTTGCACGAACTTTGTGATACTGTCACACGAATACTTTACTCGGCATTTCTATAGACTACATGTCAATCAAGCGCCTGCTCGTTGAAGTTTTGTATACGGGTATTGAGAATACACGAATGTTTTTTTTTTTAGCTTTGTTGTCGGCTTATAAAGTCGCGCGCGATTACTTTTTGCAGTTTCAATCGAATTTGTGGTGGCTTGAGGTGAATGGTGATGTAAAATGTGAGTGCATGATGGATGGATGGCTTTCATTTTACTCTTTCATACGTTCGCGATCGCGTTCGGTTTTCGTAATCTGCCGTTCGGTCGCGCTTATACATAAAAACTTAAATGTCTTGAGATGCTACCGTTGAGTTTATAACTTGAGGCTATGTGATGAATGAAGTGTGTGATGAATGTTTACAAATCTGTAGATGGTTATGTTTGCATGTTTTGATTTAAATTCTCTAATTAGTAGATTGGCTTATTTCTTTTTTTGCTGCTCGTACAATTTTTGCTGCTTATTTTTTACTGGCTTGCTGGCTTACATTGCATTATATATAGTTAATGTAGCTTTAGCATTTGGATTGTTTTTATTCTATAAATAATTTTATATTTATTTATTATTTAGTTTTGCATTTTTCTTAATTATTTTTTCTTTTCGTTCTTTTCTTGTTGCTGCTGCTGCTGCTGCTGTGGTAGCTTTACTAGTTTACTATACTGTTGCTGCGGTTGCTGTGTTACACGTACATATGTATGTATGTATGTATGTATGTATTTTTATGTATGCGGTATCATAGTTATGTAGTTTGTAGTCTTCTTGCTTCTTACAATTTTACGATTTACGCTACTATCTTGGATTCTTCATGACCACCTGCTTGAAGGCGCCAGTTGGTACGCGAGCTTTCACCTCATGACTACCCAGCGATGCGGTGCCATCACGTGCAATATACAATTGCAGGCCAGATGCTGTGAATAAGTGTACAATTTTAATTTGATTTTATTTATATGTTCACAATTTCATGTCTACTCACTCTCCGCCGATTCGGCTAATTGATCCAATTTGGTGTCCTTCAAAATCTCATCAATTAGCGAATTGGGATTGACACGCGTCTCCTCGACACGATCCGAAACGCGGGGTCCGTCATCCAGCGGCCCCTTTTTACGTTTTTCAGCCGCGTTTTTCATGCGATCTAGAGATCCTGTTTCACTTATGACTAACGAACCGGAACTGGGGTTCCTAAAGCAAATGGTATCGAAAGGATGGCATTACGAAGTGATGTGCCAGATAGCAAGCGGTCACCAGTTCCACCGCACATTTCGAAATTAACCACGAGCAGATAGTTGTTGAAAATGTTGAAAAAGCAGAAAAAATAATGAAGATAAAATTAGTATGCAATTAATTTCAATAAAAATATAACTAACATCTATTTATGTATTTATGCAAAAATGTCCTGTTTTTGTAAAAATGAATTTATTTTCTTAATCAGCTACTTGGACTACTTATGCAAACGGCTACAAAAAGGTGTGCAATTATGAAAACTATGTATGTAAGTACGAAAACAGACTATGCGTAGATAGTAGAAAATTGAGATAAATAAAGAATCGTGTTTACGAAAAAAAAAATGGTACTACGAGCATATGAATTTTTTGTAGTTACAAATGTGATGTAGGTGGGAAGATTGGTGGAGTGACACAAGACAAAAAGTGTGTTGACAAGTTGGAGTGTGGTGAATCGTGGTCAGTGCTGAATATGAAAATGAAAATTTTATTCGACAACAAATGAATGATTTCAGCTTGAAAATGCGAGACATCACTAGAGAGTGCAAACAATTACAACAAATAATTCTGTGTTCGTATGGAAAAGTAGCTTATGTCGAAAGGCTGGCTTTAGTATAATGCGGCAATCCCTTTATTTTTTAAACGGCAAGGAATTTTTTGATGAGACTTAATAAGAATATTGACTTGCTAGTATCGGAACTATTTTTTCCACGTTTATTTGCCAAAAGTTGTTCAACGGCTTAGCGCCAGTGAGTCATTCGCAATCGTATGCTGCGAATGCCGATTTATACTAAAGCCAGCCTTTTGACATAAGCTACTTTTCCATATGAACACAGAATTTAAGTTTGAAAAGTTGGTCTAATGCTGAGTTTCCAATAGGCATTGAGGAGACAAATAACTTGTGCTATTTGAAAACTGCCACGTGGAAATGAATTCAATTACTATTTACCTTTAAACTTTATAATAATTTACCAGTAATAATAAAATATAACTAAAAAACAAACAGAAAAAACTTTCAACAAGGACCAAACAAGGACGAACTTTTCAAGACTTGATGAGAGAATTTTTTTTTTTGGGTTAGTTTGATTATTTTACGAAATTAGTAAGAAAGTGAAATGTAGCTTTTTGTTAGAAATTTGGTTAAAAAATATTTAAAAAAAAAAAACAACGTAAGGCCTGGAGTGGGCAAATAAAAACGAAACTGCGAGCACACTGTAGAGTATTAAAAAACTTCGTTTAGGCAAAACGAAATAGAGTGCTCGCACGAAGGGCAAAAGTAACAGAAGTTCTTTCTAAATTGAAAATGGAGAATGACTAACATAAAAAGAAAACTTAACTAAAAAAAAAACGGGAGAAAGTTATAATCGATTTAAAAAAATAAAAATAATAACAGAAAAATTTAGATTAAACAAATCGAAAATTGCAAAAAAAAAGTAAAAACATTAAAAAGTAAATTAAATAAAAAAATAAATTTATGGAACAAAAAATAAATAAAAAAGAGAAAACGAAGAAAACAAAAAGAGTAAAAAGTAAGATTGAATATATAAACAGTATACGCTAGCTTAGAGTGAAAAGTCGCTAAGTCCCATTTTCATGAAAAGTCAAATTTTGATAAACTAAGAGGCAGAGAAAGAAAAAAAAACATCGTTTCGAAAAGGATTATGTTACTTGTTTTATTTTTCCTCGTTAAATTCCAGGAAAGGCAAAGAGGTCTCGAAAATTCGATAAGGCCAAAACGATAGATTTTTTTAATAAAAATCGAATACTTCTGATTGGTGGTGAGTTTTTCTTTGCGTTAAATATGCGAAATGTTGTGTTCACAGTTTTGCGAAATACTTACTTGAATAAAATGGCTATAAGAATTTTTTCTCTACTGCAAATTTTGCAAAAATGGGCTTAGCAAACTTTTCACTCTAAGCTAACAATATATGCAAACGAATGTGACTAAAAAAAAAATTTTAAAACTTCAGTTTAATTTCTTTAAAATTTTTAAGACATCTTATCAAAATGCGTTCACTAAAAAAATAGATCGAAATGTAAATTTAAACCCATTCATTACAAGTACTTGGATCATTTCTAAGGAGAAGCATTATTTCGACAAGGAGCATGCCTACATAAAAAACTCAACGTAACACACGATTTTCTGAAATTTTGAAAATAAACTCGAAAACTGGAAAAGTCAAGTAGAGGCAGCCCAAAAACAAAAAAAAACTACACTAACAAATTATACTCCCATTGGCAATCAGAACAAAACAAAAATACAACAAACACATCCTATTGACAATCAGTATTAATTCGCCTTGAAATCAGCAGCTCTGGTAACACCACCTCATATGAATTCGCCTTGCTCTAAAATGTTTTTCTTAAAAATGTTTGCAGTTCAGACAAATTTTTTTGGGCTTTCGAGTTTTTCGATGCTTTTTGCTAATAAAGCGAATACCCCTTAAATTTTCTAAAGTTCAATAATTGTTCCAATACTGGTGTCCGAGAACACTGGAGATGTTCTATCTAGCACTGCTTTCGAGAACTCACAAGCATTACTGGACACTATTTCCGTAGAGTTCCATGTATGATAATTTTTAAAGATTTCATTGATTTATTTATGGCAAAAAGGCGACATACAGTGTATGGATTTAATTCATCTAAAGTATTTCCTTATCCTTCTTAGTCATAGTTAGTTTCAATAAAATCAAATACGAACTTCCATTCCAAGAACTAGAAATTAGAAATTAAGTTGCAATTACTTATTTTGCCTATTGATATATCTTGCTCAAAACCGCTTTCACAAAACATGTTTTAAAAGATTAAATAATGGGGAGAAAATTTAAATATCTGAGTAAAAAATAGTTCAACAAATTGCAAAATTTTGCAATTCTTAAAAATATTCGCATTCCAAAGTTCGCATAGCATCAAAAGAAGAAAAAAAAAAATACATAAAAATTCACCACACATGCCAAAAGGTGCTGGAATAAAAACAAAATAATGCAATGCCAACGCATTCTGAAACAAGAAATCCATTCCTCAGAAGAAGTTCATCACGAGCTTAGCAAATAATTACCAACTGCAAAGCATACTCCGAAGAAAAAAGATAGCGAAAAAAAAACGCAAAGAACGTATCGTTTTCAAAGCTACAAAAATCTTAGAACTCGAAACATAAAAACAAAAAGTATTTTAGCAATCGCGGACATCAACTACAAAATTGTTTCAAGAGAAAGAGAGCCCTGCACGAAGGCCTCTTCGCTTTCAAGTCACCCAGCGAACGCACATTGTAATGCTGGGCCGCCGTATGATCTGGGTAGTCGCGAGCGGCGAGAGTGTCGCGCCGGAAGCGCTCAAACCCGAGTTGTTGCTCGCCGCCATCTGCGCCGCTGCTGCTTCGGCCGCAGCCATCGTGGCGGTGGTTAGCAAAAGCGATGCGGCCGAAGGATTTGAACGTATGCTGCAGGCGTCCGTAGGACTGGCTGCCAAAGAACTGATCGCCTCGGTTGTAGCGGAAGCAGAGGTGAGTGCGCTGGGAGCGAGGCGCGGACTGTTAGCACCACTACCGCCACCGCCACCAACTCCACAAACAATGCCATTATTGCTGGGTGAACCGAGCAACTGGTTGGGATGGCCACCGCCGCCGTCGCTATAGCCAATGCCGTCTACCGTGTCGCTGCTGCTGCCGATGCCCGATTGGCCGCCGCCGGCGCACTGAAAGGTGATGACGGCGCCGCTGCTGCTACTGCCGCTGGACGAGGATGCCGAGTGGGTGGAGTTAATGCTGCCGAGTGTACCGCAGGGCGAAGAGCTGATGTTCGCCGCCGAAGTCGCCGCCGCCGCCGCCGCCGCCGCCGCTGCTGCTGCTGCCGAGGGCGATGTTGAGGCGCCTAGTGCAATTGAGGAGATTTGACGATTACTGCCGTCGAGTAGACGACGCGGTACACCGCTAAAGTTGCGGCCAGTGCTGTTTATTGGAGATGGGTGTTGGCAAAGCGAATTATTGAATTGAAGCGGAGCGCAGTTGTTTGAACAAAATCACGAATGCGTTGGGCGGGAATGCGGTTTATCGTTTAAGTTTTGGGACGAAGCGGAAAGCAAATTAACGGCGGAAAATAGTAGAAAAGACACACACATATTTATAGTAAATGTACATATGCATAGATATTTCGTATATTTGTAGATATGTATGCTTTATTGACATTGAAAAGCAATTTTAACCAAAGTCGATAAGAAGCGTACTATTTTTTGGTTACAATAATTATTTGCCATTAGAAATTAAAAAAAAAGAGAAGTTGCATCAACTTTTGTGTATATATGTATATGTACAGTTAGATTTATGGTAAATAGAAATAAATATTGCTACAAATATGAATAAACTTGGTTCAAATTGTTGGTGTTTTAGTGTAAATGCGAGTTTATGTTTGTGAGAGATTGCTTGAGGGACGCAATTTGTATAATAAAAAATTGGAGGAAAGATAAGGACAACACACAAAAAATAACCTTATTCCAATAAAACAAGACAAAAAACAAACAAAAAAAAACTAACTTAACCCTCTCAGGACCAGAAATCAGCCTTTGATCTGCAAATTTTTATATCGGCTAATTTTGGGTCGTTGATTTCACCACTACAATCAAAAATTTTATACAGCGTCCATTATATTATACAGTATTGCCCTAGGATTGTAAAATGGGGAGTGAGCTCAATTATTTTAACTTTTTTGCGAAATATATTTCGTCGATGCCTTTGCAAAACCGCCCATCGAGCAATTGCCAAAATGCTTATTTCACGGCACTCAAATTTTACAGTTTACGGTTTTTGTTTTGTAACTTTCTTTCTTTGTCAATGTTCTTATTTGCAGGCATTGACTTGATAGACAATCGGGCCGATCGGGCGATTTAGGTGGTTCTCCAAAGGCATCGATGATTTCAAAAATATCAATATTAAAAAAAATCGGATCTCAATTCCACCGAAAAAAG